ATATATATAGAGAGAGAGAGAGAGAGAGAGAGAGAGAGAAAGAGAGAGAGATAGATAAAGTAAAGGCTTCAGAAAATATTAAAATGCAGAGAATGAAACCGAAAATAAAAGGAAAAATTTTATAGCGGAAAAGAACGATCAACAATAATGGGGATTATATTTATTGAAATTTCATTATGATTGAATACCAATCTCGAAATCCCGTTTACGCCTTGTATAATCAACATCGTTATGGATATACAGGATCTGCTGTTCATTTGCTCGCAAAATAGTATTAATTTCATTTTTCCACCGTATAAGACTATGTAATTGTGACACTGTGGCCATTGTTGCTCATAACGTATCACAATTGAAACTGCCCTTTCCCGATCGTAAAATTTCTTCAGCTGGAAATATAAAACAATAACATTCATCAGTGGTTAAGTAATTGTAATACGTAGAAAATTAATCATATCCCAACTATGAAGTTCATTAGTTTCTTTTTAAACTATTAATACCAGACTTTCAAGATGTCGATTAACATTACTCACTGCATCGGATATGTTCCCAAACATATTTCGAGTTTGCCACGAACTTCGCTTATGAGGCCATCCAACCCTTTTGATATAATAAGCCATATATTGGTATAGTTTTGGCTTATCTGAAATAAGCCAAAACTATACCAATATCATATTTGATTCCAAAACCATACTATTTAGCAGTGAAAATATTCAGATAATGAAAAATATTATGCAGAAATTTAAAGGAGTGAAGTAATTTGAAATACAGAATCTTAGAAAACATCTGCATTCTTTTCCTAACAAGGATACGTTCCACTTCATACATCACATTTTTATATCTGCCAACATCTACCATTGGAGATCTAGACCTGATCCATTAATTCTTAATGATATCAAATGTTGTCCATCATCACTTTGCTCAATTAATTTGAATTTCCGCATTCTTTTGTTTACTCTGCATTCCATTATATCTTCCATAACAGTAGTAAAATTCTTGATTTCGAACTTTCTATGGTATTCAGTACAACTTTTTTTCTCGAGCCGGTGATTTTGAGCGTGGAAGATTTTTAAATCATTGGCGTCTTCGATTTGCAAATCTTCAGAATTTTACCATTTTATTCGTTTTATAAAATATTTTATTCGTTTCTCAATGGTATCTCTATTCGAAGCAATACAGAATTCTTCAAATTATTTCATGATTTTACTTAAGCATTTTATTTTAGCACGCTAGTGATAAAAGCTAAATGATAACCGAAATATGCCAGAATATAACATACATGTAGATACGTAGCGTAACTTTCTAGTGGAGAAAGTCGTATCGTAAATTGAACAGCTGAAATTCGCAGAGTGTAAATAATCTGATAAACTGGATTTATAAAAATTGAAATGAAATTTCATCACAGCTTACACCGTATGGAAAATTGAATTCTCGTTAAATGAATATTTTATTTTTATTCCAGATAGAACTCCTATTCTATCCTTCTTAAATTTAATGTTTAATCAACACTTATCGCTTTTGTTCTTCGCTTTAATTTATAATCATTAATTAAATCATACAATCAATTTGACATGTGCCAGGCGATAACTTAAAAATAATCATTATAATATAATCAAATACTAAAAAATGGAAAGAAAAATTAACGGAATTAAATCAAATTACCAAGCCAAAATTAAAACATTTTCTTCCGCCTTCTTATTTTGCTGAAGAATTATTATATTTTTAGGCTTAAGTTATTCTTGATCGAAATCGAAAGCAACGCAAAAATGATAAAAGCGATGAGTAAATTCAAAATTATTCATTTAACACAAGTTGGCAACTTTTCAAGTTTTACTATGAAAAATTTATTTCCTTTTTCATTTATAAATTTCAAAATTTCCGTTCTCCTTTTTATTTTTGCAGGAAATGAACTGAAATTTCTCTTCCAAAATATTCAAATGGAATCACAAATTAGAGAGAATAAACTTATACTTGAGAATTTCGAAAATCCAATCCGGTACATCTTCAGCAGCTTATTCCATTTCGGATGTTTGCTTTCTTTTTTTGTTTATTCCTCCAACAGCACTACAATACCATTTATTTCCGGATAAGATTATAATGCAGAAAGGTTTTTGATGATAGAATTTCTCATTTAAAACAACAAAATTTTAAGCTTATTTTTTTACTTCACCTTTCCGCAGTAGCAATTTGGTTTGTTCTCCTCCGAGCCACTATAGTTGCCCGTTTTCAATTTCCATTTTCCAAATTTCAACTTCGCAACTTCCGATGCATTTTATTTTTTAGTATACTTTCGAATAATAGCGTAAAAGATGGCAAATGTGGAAGAAAGTTTAAATGTGAACGAAAGTTTACGTTCAGTTCTCTCGAATCAGAAGCAAGCAACGCTGTGAATCGGAAATCATTGACGAATTCATCTGATCAGCTGAAAGGACATCTGCCAGAAGTGGTCTTCGTTTTTCAAACTTTTCATACTAAAACATCCTTTTTTTCTCGAAATTTTTTTAAAATGCCATGAAAATTTGATCAAATCAAAATATAATTGCACCTATAAATCATCAAAGCTTTACAAATCGTTCACGGTTTTTTAGCGTGTAATACGTGAAGTCCATTCGGCTGTTCGTCTAAACGGTAAGATATTCGAGAAATCTAGCGCTAGTGCTTTGGTAGTATTAAATCTTCCAGAACCATCAAAAAAGCAATCTACTCTTCCCAATTACATGGAATATTTGAATGTGTTGACGCATAACTTACGTCGAGTTCTTTTGATCCGAAGTAGTGGTTCCGAAGTAATCACGAAATATTCGTAATCCCGCTGTATAAATCATTACTTACACTTTCTTATATGTAAACAATTATAGAATTCAAATTGTTGACTTACCAAATTACTTTGCAATATTAATACTTATTTTGAAATATTCCAAATAAAAAAAGTGCTACCAAATCTATAATTATTCGATGTAATAAAATTACTTACCTTCGAAAATGTGATCAAATTAGGCTGTAATGATGAGGCAATAAAGTTTTCCTCGTTGAAAATGTAAAAAAGTTTCGCTGTATTTTCATGTCTATCCAACAGCATTTGAATGCGATTGCTACTGATGATGTCAATATTCTTTTAAAAAAGCTCCGATATTTATTTATAAATATATATAAATATTTATTCCGAAAATTTAAGTATTTCCGATTATACACTCTCTCTTTTTAAAGTTACATTTTAAGCAACCTTCATGTTTAATCAATAATTTTTTCAAGCATATTGCGGTGGCATTTCAAATTTTCATAGTTTTATTAGCGGAGTATAATTAAATTCATTTTTTAATAGATCGATTTAAGTTCAAAAATAGGTCATTTTTGAATCCTGGAAACTTCGCATTATTTTCAAGTTTAGTAGAGACACTTAAATCTTGTAAACATTGACAATCTACGGTATTTGCAAAAACTAGCTAGCCATTGTGCATCACTACACAAATCCCAGTTTGAAATTTACTGTTACATTTCATGATCCGTAGCATGCGACAAGAATGCAACATTTCAATTTTATGTGGAACGCTAAGAGAGGGATAGAAAATACAGTGGTTTTTGGGGAGGGGTTATGATTATAAACAGGTATTTTATGTGTGGGGCGATAGAGTGCGATATTTTGGGAATACGGAGATTGCCAAAATTAACGGGACATCATGGAATTGGAGAATGCGAAAGGAATATATAATTTTAATTGAGGATATGTAAAAAATGATGCAAAAAGTCGGAAATTATGTTAGTACAGATTGGAAAAATATTGAAATATCAACTAGAATGAAGTACGACACTGATTGGGAGTAATTAAAGGTCAGGTGGAAAAATAAAAGTAGGATAGCTGCAAACTATTGGCATTAAATTAATTGATCTGGTGTATTTTTTGAAAACAGTTTTTAGACAATTTAAGGCGAATACATGAAATGCTAGAAAACTTTTATCTTTTTAATTAATAAGTAGTTTGATTTTATTCCGTTTCGTTTGTGCGTTTGATGACTGTAACTGCTATTATTATTACAGATTTTCGTTCTCTTGGCATGTTACAGTACCATTCTTTCCAGCGTCTAACAAAGAAATAAAAAAATGCTTCCTTCTTGATGGATAAGATATTTATGCTAAGGAAATCTAGTTGGAAGAAATTCGTACTTACATCAAGAGTTAGTCAAATCTTTCGTGTTTTTTTGGAACTTTAGAATTAATATTAGTGCAAAAAAGTAAAGGGAAATTTTCTGCCAGATATTCATTTAAAGAACTACGGAAAATCAAAGATATGCGCCATTTATTTTTTAGTTGAAGCTATTCAGCACAGCTTAATAACTTAGAATTTTTTTATTCTCTTGCGCTGTTTATTTGCATTTATTTACACCTGTCATTGAGTAAGAATTTTACTATTATGAATTTTATGACCATCATGGATTTTTCATTTTATAGGAAATGTGGACAACGAAAAATATTGTAACAGGTTTTCATCAACTATCGCTGTTCAAGATAAATGCGGCGTGCTTTCGTACAACATCCTTAACCAGATGGCAAAGTGAGTAAGTCTTAGATTTGATTTTTTATAATAGATTTGAATATAATTTGCAATAATGGTTTGAGGAAATTGAATATTCCTTTTTTAGCTTTTAGCTACCTGGTTTATCGATCTAATTTCGATTCCAAATGATACTTTTTCCTGTTATCCGGAATGGAATGCGTAGCATATTAAAATAAACTGTCATATTTAAGTATTACTAATAGTCTTCGATAATCTTTTGATTTATAAAAGAGGGAAAGAAGAGAAGATCCGGAAATAACTAGACTGATTTTTTTCTATTTTTTTAAGTGAATACGGTATCATTAATATTTAGATTTCGAGAATGAAAGATATTTCGAGCCTGGAGAAGATATTTTAAAGCGGATTTGGTATGCTTTGAAGTATGATGTGAAGCGATGGAAAAGGCGCTGGAAAGAAGTAATATTTATTAGATTATTTTTAGCAGTGTTTTTTATTCCTTTTTTATTGTGTCGACACATATTTTTGCAAGAAATAGCATTTTCATTTTTTAGCCATCATAATAACAGCGTTGTTTTTATTCATCTTTTTCTAAGGCTTTTATTTTAATTTTATTGATATATTTTTTAATAAAATGATCCGCAATAGTTTGTTAAACAGCCGAAATTCTGGTTGTAAATTTATGCCAAATTATGCTACATTTTATAAATTGCATTGCATAAATTTTAGGCCAAAATGGATCCGTATCAGAGGAATAATCCCATTGCTCATATCAAGCGGCATGCAATGGATTTCGAGTTGTTCCCGTTCGAAACTCAAGTAATTCAATTAGATGCTAATTAGATGCTCATTTGCATTGTTCATAACTTCTGTTTTGCTGTCGAATAGTTGTCTAAAAACTTTTCTCTCAGTTTTGTTCGACGCCGGAGAAATTGGATCATTTTAAAACAAATCTGTTTTTATATTGTTCGATTGAATTCCAATTAGTAAAAGTTGATAAATCTCGTTCATTTTTAAACATGCTCCATTTTGCCCTAAAATATGCTGTCTCAGTATGTTTGAAAATGAACGAGATTTATCAACTTTCACTAATTCTGATACGGATCCATTTTGGCCTAAAATTCATGTAATGTAATTTATAAAATGTGATATAATTTGGTATAAGATCTGAAGATATTTGAATTTTGTTTCACAGCCACAGTGAAGAGTAGACACTCATGTAAATATGCAAGTTATAAGTTGAAGCTTCTTTAGGTATTAATCATTGGAGGTGGCTTGATAGGATCGTCTGTTGCATATTGGTTAAAGCAAGAGTTTCGTGACGAAGACTACAAAGTGGTAGTTGTGGAGAATAACGATAAGGTAACACTTCTCAAACTTTTATTTTCTAAGCTTATCAATTTGTTTAATTTTTTAAATATAGTCTAAAGGTGAGAATTTTTCGTATTTTCAAAGTTTTAGACATTTCAGAATTATTTTCGCTGTAAAGTAACATGGTGAATGATTGGTATAGTAGAGATTATTAGCCAGCTTACCTTTTGAGTGTAGTTTTTATTTCAAACATTAATACGGCATTAGTTTTGAAGCTTTCGAGCACTGCTTTACAGCCATAGTAGTGCCAGAGTTAATCACCTCGGAAATTAAAGAACATGGAAGTTGAAAAATCAGTCTTGCCAGCTTTTTCTTCTTTAAATATCAACTTGCAGTTTGCACAGTGCGCTTCAATGTTAACATGCGGTGGTATCTCACAACAGTTTTCAATCCCAGAGCATGTTACGATGTCAGCTTTTGCTGCTGAATATCTTCGTCATGCTGGCGAGCATTTGCGCATTTTAGGTAGATCTCATCCTATTTTATTCATAACTGAAATTGAATCGTTTATTAGTTGTCTTTTTATTCTTGATTCTTCTGAAATCCGGTAATAGTTTTTAATAATGAATATTTTTAGACAACGATCCTCCTGATATACATTTTTTACCAATGGGTTTCATGTATTTGGCTCGTACATCCGACGAAGTAGATCAGCTAAAGCGAAATTGGAAAATGCAAACGTTTGTATAACTGTAATTGAATGAAAATTATTCGAAATTTTCTTTTGTCGATAACTGATCAGTCAAGATTAAAAGCTTATTTAGTACTATTAGTATAGATTCGCCCCATATTCATTTTGTTGTGTGGCCTTCTTTCCTTGTCTGCTTTATTTTTATTTTCAAATTTTAAATAGACAGATGCTGAAGTTACTCTTAATTTTTTAATAGCGAAAATTTTAACTAAATTTTAAAATTATATATTTGAATCACTAGAGGAGATTACAGAACGTAACTATTCAGCAACAGTATGCCCTTCTCACTCTCTGTGTGTCAGTATAATTTTACATAAGCGAAAGAGATGCACTATACAAGAGAAATTTAGGGAAGTAGTAAATTATTTAAAGAAAATTAGCAAATCTGCTTCACAAAGGTATTAATAAATTTTTCAGGCGAAATGGTGCCCGAATTGATTTGCTAAACCGTGATCAATTACGTGCGAGATTTCCCTTCATCAATTTTGATGATGTGTTGCTCGGCTCATATGGTAAATATGCTTCTGTTAACTCGTTATGATATGGAACAAGAAAAAAATAAGATGGAAATTATATATGAGATATTTTAGGCTTGGAAAATGAAGGTATAATCGATTCTTGGCAATTGTTATCAGCTATACGGGAAAAAAATCTTACTTTGGGTGTACAGTATCTTAAAGGAGAGGTAGAAGGTATGCAACAATTATTTTTAGAACTTTGTTCTTGTGTCCATGGATGTTTTCAATTTTTGGCTATATATAGCCAGGTCCTGAGCTACTCTCCAGGAGAAACAGACTGCCAACGTCATAAGAAAATTTTCCAGAAAAAAATTCTATTTTTAAGCGAACATTATCAAATCCGCAATTATTTTTTGATCGAGAGCACGTTGTATTAAATAATCAAACCAAATTTAGAAATTTTCTTATTGCAATGATTCTTTTGTTTATTGCATTTTCCTCTTCCAGGTTAGCAGGATATATGAAAAGCTAAATAATTACCACTCTCTTATACTTGTTCTTTGTTATGAAAGTCCTATATTGATTTTATGGACTTATGTAGTTTTATGGGATGTAGAATACAAAACAGGAACAATAATTTAATAAAAGAGTTGGAAAATGTAATTCGACTTCACTATCGTAGTTTGGATGATTTTTTTAATGTAGGTTTTGCATCTTCAGGTTTTTATTTTGGCCAAAAATATGGTACAACACAAATACACGGAATCACAGATGATGCTGATGAAGAAGTTTGGCGTAATATGCATATTCATGGAGCTTATGTAGGCATTTTAACTTTTTTTCCGAGTTTTTATTTATGCTCTTCACATATTCTTGCGGCAATAAAATCAATACATGTATTTTTAGGTTCGCCCACAAATGACAGACGCTTCTGCTAGGATCATACGATCTAATCATATTGTTGTTGCTGCTGGTGCTTGGTCTGGTCGTATTGCAGAAATGGCAAGAATTGGTTAGACACTTGTTTTGCTTGTAATTTTTTAGTAGGAAGTTTCTAAGCTCAAAAGTATCTTAAGCTATAATTTAGAACAGGAGCCTTAAACTTTTAGGGAAGGGACGAGATTTGCTGGCTGTTAGGATACCAGTTGTTGCACGGAAGCGTATGATATTTGTTGTACATGTACCTGATGTTCCCGCCTTGGATATGCCAGCTCTTGTCGATCCCAGTGGTGTTTATTGTTTTATGGAAGAAATCGGTAATGTATTTATTTGTGGAAAAATCCCGAATAAGGTGAGGAATTCGGACATTTGAAGAAAATATGAGCTTTTATTCATTCTTTTCCTTTCCATATTTAAAATTATATTTTTATAGGAAGAAGATGAAAAAATTGACCACTCGAATCTGGAAGTAGATTACGATTACTTTTATAATAATATTTGGCCAATTTTAGTGAAACGTGTTCCAGCATTTAAAAATTTAAAAGTAAGTTTTGTCGATTCGACATCTCTGATTCTCATGCTAATGAACTCTTGTGATGCTTATCACGGCCGCCACAGTTAATAAGAGACAAAACTTCATTGTGAAGCTGAATTAAAATTATGAAAGTCTTGATGAAAAATTTTATTTCGCTTTGTAGTTGGAAAGTATCTATTTTCGTATTATTGGCTACTATTTAATGAAGATAACTCATATAAGATGTTGACTTCATTTTATATTCCTTTATTGTAGTATAGATAAGTTTCGCATTCGATTAAAGCAGCCTTTTTTTATGTCCTTTGTAAATGAAATCAAAATAAGCTGAAATGGAATACGTATTTTACATTGAAAGTAATAGAAGATGAGTGGTAGCAAAATTTAATTGATTGATTTCGTTGTTTCGCTTTTTAAACAAATTTTCAGATAAAAAATGCATGGGCAGGTTATGAAGATGTGAATGTATTCGATAACTCACCAGTTATTGGAGAACATTTGCTTTATCGAAATTTGCATTTTCTATGCGGATTTGGGAATCGCGGCATGCAGCATGCCTTAGCTGTTGGACGAAGTTATGCTGAGAAATTGTTGGAAGGCGCATACTTGACATTAAATTTGCGGAAGTTTGATATGAGACGACTGGTGAAGATGGAAAAATTAGAGGAAGAGTATGGCTAATTGAAACGAATGTTTTGTTGTTCAGCAATATAGTTGTCATTCTGTTTTTTGCTCTTATTCATATTCTATATTGTTAATTTTTTTCTTGATAACCAACAATTGCTAAAGGCTAAATAAGCTTCATGATTTAATGCTTACTTCATGAAGCTTCTGTACAATATATTCTTATAATCTTTGTATTTCCGCATAGTCCTATTTCTTTGTGGGCGATGCTGATTAACTGAACCATTCTGATGATCAACATCTATTCTTTTACTATACTTGTTTGCAAAAACTTATTTGTTTTATGGGAAGTATTTAAATAGTATTAATAAATATCATCTAGGAATATCTCGTAGTGTATTTATTCAGAGGAGTGATGCTTCTTAGTTTATACCGTTGCTCAGATAATTTAAATTTATCTCTTGAAATACTAATTTGTAAAGATGATGTGATGTACAAGACGGATTTGTACTATTGAAGAAAGTTAATTCCATGTTTTCAGACTTATAGCATCTCATCATTACCTTTGTTTCAGTTTTTGTAAATCATATTTTACATAAAATTCACATACTTTGGATTAACCTGCAGTTTTCAATGTCTTCGTCTAATGAACCGGAAAAGAAACGTAGTAGATCGGATGACAGCGATCAAGTTGACGAAGAAGAGATAAAGGAATTGCCAAAAGGATGGGAGAAGCGAATGAGTCGCTCAAATAGTTTGTTTAACATTTCCTTGAAGATTGTATTTCTGATTAATTTATTAATCGTTTGGAATCGAAGGGATAGGAAGTTTAGTGTCTAGACCTTTCGAGCTTTTCCTCTTTATAATAAACGCATCTATGCAATCTTTTAGATCGGTTTTACTACTTCAATGTGTACACTGGTCGCAGTCAGTGGGAGCGACCCTCAAAACCAGCTGATCCAGCTCAAGCAAGTTTGAATGAAGTATGTTTTGAAAGCTTTATTTCTAAAATGACTTTTCCATTTATTGTAATCCTTTGAATTAATATTTCTTTGAGGATTATATTTCTGATTAATTTATTCGTTTGTTAATAATGTAGCATTAACAGGTCATTTGATAATTTTGCTGTCAGCTCGAAGCAGATTTTTTCTTAAAAATGAACCGAAAGTGCATTTTAAGTATTAGTTGAGTTTTCGGTTTTTCACCATACATTTTTATTTGTCTTGAATAGAGTGTGTTGATAAGTTATTAATTTGCATGATTTTTAGGTACACTGTGCACATTTATTAGTAAAACATAATGGTTCGAGGCGTCCTTCGTCTTGGCGTTCAGATGTTATTACACGATCAAAGGAAGACGCAAGGAAGATTTTGATTGGTTCGATTCAATTTCTCAGTATTTTTTTTTGTCCAGGAAGAGAAAAGATTTTACCGTTTATTATAATTTTTGAAGAACTCACATGCACAGGGTAAAGTTGCTTAAAAGTTTGCGATAAAGTTGTCCGCGGAAGTTTAGCCTTTCGAATCGGACTCCATTTATGATCCCTCCAAAGGCGCCCTGTAATTGCAACCTTTTACAAATGGGGCGTTAAATGATGAATGAAATTGAACAACCGGTTAAATTAATTTTTCATCGTTATACGTTCTATTTGTTGATATTATTATGTTTCACTTTTTTGATCGACATATCCTTCAACGAAACCTTTTCTTCGAGAAATGGTTACGTTTTTTTTTCAGGTTACAGAAAACAAATTGAGGAGGCATCTGATAAAAAATCAAAATTGAGAGATTTGGCGAAAGAATTTAGCGATTGCTCCTCAGCAAAACGAGGTGGTGACTTGGGGTTTTTCAAACGACGACAAATGCAAAAGTCTTTTGAAGATGCCGCCTTTGCTCTTGGAGTAACTTTCACCTCATTTATGACAAATTTGCAAATCATCGCTGTTAAGCGCATAGTAGTACTGTCTTTAGAAATGTTAGCGTGAGCGGGATGCCGAAATATGTTGCAGCTTAGTGTTGCACATCATAAATCGATTTTCGTCTCATATTTCAGAATAAAGTTAAGATGTATGAGAGAAGTCGGCATGCTTGCCTTCTTCTGTGAAAAATATTCTACCAATTTTATTGCAGCCTTACCGACTGATAGATGGGGGAGTGTTTGTGGGTGCTACCCATGACTTATATTGAACTGTAAATCAAATTTGTGAATCTAAAGATTATTGTCAGTTTTCTTTTTCAGGTCGGACAGTTGAGCGATATAGTTGATACTGATTCAGGCTTACATCTTATTTATCGAATTGCATGATAAGCGATCTATTTAACGCGTATTGCAGTCTTCTCAGCTTTTATGAATCTAAAGCTTTTCTTATGCGAGTTTTAACTTCGCATTGCAATTGTAAAGTTTGTATTCTGTTTCTTTGCGGTTAAGTACTCTCTCTCTTTCTTCTTTTTTCAGGTTTTTCCTGTATTTTGTTTTTTGAGACTGTAGAATACAATAATCTTAATTTTAATACTTTATTTGTTAAGAATGAAATAGAACAATTAAACTCACTAAATTTATTAACCATAATAATTCATTTAGTGACCTTTGCTGCTGATTTAATTAGATGTTATCTTGGCACACTCAAATACAAAAATCTGTACTGTTTTGTTTTCTGGAGACACTTTATTTTACGTGTTTAGTAGTTTTGTTGCAAGAATTGCTTGTTGAATTTGTTATGTATTTATTCATATTTTTGCTCTTTATATTCTTAATGAATTATGGTAAGGAGAAGAAAGCAAGAAAGGTACGAGCGGGGAGTTTATAGTGTACGAATGAAGTTGCCACTGATTAGAAGACGATCAATATATTAAGATTGATGTTCATTTGCTAGGAATTTAATGTTTTTATTAAGTTTTTCGTCGAGTTACAAATGCGTTCTTTCATGGTCATCTCACAAACTTCGGATATTTGGAGATGTACATATGATTTTATCAGCAATTTCGTCAAGTTTCATTTGTATTCCGTTAAAAGGTAGTAAATAATTTCAAATCAATTTGATAGTTCTTCAACGTTAGAAGTTGTCACAAATTGTTACCATGATCTGCTTACCTTCAATATGGTAAAAGAGTTACCGGTACTTCATTGTTATCGTGTGTAATTAAGCATATAAAGGAAGTGCAAGTTAAGGTAAGCATTGTACCTTTCCTAGAAGGATTGAATATATTACCTTATTGAAATAGTGCAGCGAACATAAACGAATTTGCTAAAGTTCTTGTGTGTTATAGATGAATATTCATATTAAAATTGACCCACTGAGAAGTGGTTCCGCTATAAGTCACCATAATGATGTTTGTGAACGTTCTTATTAATATTTTTTGTAGTCAATATTTCGAAATTGATGTTTTTTATATTATTGTTAACAGTTATGGAAATCCAGTTCGATATTTTCATTTCATAAATATTTTTTCTTTCTTTTTTGGAAGCGAAGATTTGATTCAAAGTTTTCCACTGTAAGCTTCTAATGTTAAGCTGGTTAACGTATTTTGTGTTTCGTTTTTCTTTTTGATTTTATCGTATTCTAGAAGTTAAGGATAATCAGTGGCAGGCTTTTAAGTACTCGAATCAACGTAGAAGAAAATTGAAAAAAAGCAATGCCAGTACCACAATATCAGGGCATCGCTGGACAGTCACAAATATCATGCTGGCAAAAAATGAAAATGGGTTTACTTATGGGAGTGTTTATTGGTTGCGCATCAGGTGCTATTATCGGAACTGTTAGTGCATTCAGGTTAGTATTTTGGAATTTGAATCTTAATTCATAACCTAGTATAACACTATTTTCATGATACTTGGTAGGTGGAACTTATATGCTACGTGTGCTGAGTTTTTAGTCCTAACTCGATCGTAGTTTGATTATTTATTTCAGCAATGCCAGTGCAGTTCCGACAGTGACCTCGAGTGGCACAATCGCCGTTTATTTTTTTAGAAAACTGGGGGGTTTTGTAACATCGATAATCGTACAAATTTATTTATATAGTGGTGATTTACGCTAATTTGAAAATATAAAATCTACAATTTAAACAAACTGTTGCTTTAAATATCAACAATTCAAACTCAGATTTTTATTGTTAAGTACAACTGTTGATCATCTTGGAATGATCGTCAATCATTTTTATTACTGTAGTCACAGCGATATATCCTGTTATTATTATGAGAAAGATTTGTCAAAATGACCTTATCAGTTGCTTCCGTTTTTCAGCATGGGTTTCCGAGGGCGCGCAATGATGGCACAGGTCGGTCGATATTCTACAAAAATGGGTGGTTCTTTTGCGGTATTTATGATGATTGCACAAGGATTACGCTGTTGACAAACACCTCTTCTTTTCTCTTTTGACATATCGATATTGTAGTGAAACCTTTTAATGTGAGAAATTTGTTGTTTCGCAGATAGAGATTGTCAGAGAGATTTATTGGTGATGGAAGATGAATTTATTCCTGAGTTATAAAACAATATCAGAGAAAATCAGGCTAGAGTCGACCACTATTTTTTACTATACTGGTGGAGCCGACCGTATTTCTGTTGTAGATTGTGACAATGACTCTACCGGATTGATGTGCGCTATTTAATATCCTTCTCGAGACAAAGAGAATTATATGATCAAACGGTTTAGCATTTTCAACCACTGGCAAACAAAGCATCTTGTCATATCCTTCAGATACAAAGCAGGCTAAATGTATATTTACGGTATGAATTAGAGAGTTAGAACAATTTTCTAGAATGCGAGTACTTTAATTATTAAGATACAAAAATTGTTTGAGCATGTGATAGATAAAGCCGGTGGTAAAGTGAGTACAGTATTCTTTGGAATAACTAATTGAGATATCAAACAAAGCATGTTAAATCATTTGGCTGAGAATATTTGAGACAAAAGATTTCTATAACATAGATTTCACGAATATGACACTACTTGATTATGTAAACATTTTAATATTGTAAAGTTATTTCGGATTACCAACACTTCCGACAGGAGAAATTAACACCTTCATTGTTATCCTTTGTTGTTGGAGTTCGATCTTTTGTAGCACTTCTAGTCCGTAGAATTATAAGTTCTTGCTCATCGACTCCATGAATTGATTTGTGGACCGCTGCTTGATTTTTTGAATTTACTTCATTGTTGATTTCCAGAGGTTACAGCGTATTCACCGTTATGTTGAGGAGTCTGCCTGATGGCAATTCTCTTGAGGCACTTCTTACTTTTTCATCTCTTCCTCTTCATGGCATGTTCTACATTTCTCGCGAAAGTGTGTTCTGTTTGAATTGCTCGTTCTCGAAAATAGTTAAATTTCGCCATATATTCAAAATGTATTCAAGGCTTGAGAGTGTTTGACCAATACTAATAAATCTTTCTTTCGTACTGAATTTGTGAGGAGAAAATTCTTCCTGATTATTATCGTTAGCAATTGGGGTAACTAGGGGAGCATGAGGGAAGATTAAATCAGTTGGGCGTATGACTACTTAATCTTTACGTTAGTGACCGGGTATTTAGTATATCTTCTATTTCTTCTATAAGAGCTATTGATTTCTTCTCCCATGATAATTTTCTACCTTTTTGGTAATTCCAATTATTTTATCATAAATCGGTTACTCCATATGCCTATTAGCATGGGTTCTTCCAAATGATTCCTTTATTTGCTAAGAAATCTGTTCTCTATTTTGTTTGATAATGGTCTGGAAAACTAATTAAAATTGACTAGCATTGTTACTAAATCTAGAATAACTTCGTCAGGCAATGAATCTTCTTAATGCGTGCAAAAACTTTCAGCAGATAAATTTTCCACCTGGTAGACAACTAATGTGTGAACACCCGTTATAAGTAACATTGATAAGAATTTAATCATGGGATTTTTCTCCTTATTGTTGATTTTATGAACTTAAGAATCCAAGCAATTATTCTTATTAATTTCGATCATTTGCTAAAATTACTCATATATATATAAGTTTAAAACTTCTATTTGTAATAATTTCTTCTGTAACTTTTGCGATAAAAATTCCGCTTTCTTCATTTCCATACGCTCCCACGAATTTAAATTCCCAGGGTCTTTTCGCCATATTTCGTAATTCCGAAGTATTGTGGGAGAGTCATTTTGTTGCATCATCATTGGATTACACTTACTTGGGATGTGACGAAACAAGAATTTTGCCTTTCTTATTTCCTCTACTTGATTTTGTACAAATTTTGGTAGAAGTCGGGAGCACTTCTGAATCCAGTGTAGTATACACTTTGAGTCGGACCATAGCGGAATTATGTAGGAAGGAAGGAAGTTGGTAATATAACATTGTCAACGTAGGGATTTTTTTCGAGTTTTAACTGATTATAAAAGCTGCTCGTATTCCTGTAAGTATTACCAATAAGTATTCCAATAGGATATAGTGATATCTTTAATTGGTGCGGATTTGACAAATATCAAGGACGTTTTAATACCTTGAATTCCATGGCTTCATGTGTATACAGTTACAGAATAGGCCACGCTTGATGCGTCTGTGAAGGCATGGAGTTGCATTTGTTCTGAAGGGTATATTATGAATCGTGGTAGCTCCTTTAGTCTATTGGTCATTCATTTATCAGAGACGTTTCTTTATCTTCTTCACTTATAGATTGATTCCAAGCGTTGCTCTTCCATCAGTTGAAGAAATAATTTGAATTATACCATAATCGGTACGAGGAATCCCAATGGGTGGCATTGAGACACTAAAAATTGTAAAATTATTCTTTTTGTCAAATCCCTTTCATTTTATGGTCTTAGAGGTGACTTAGAAAATATCTGGAGAATATCTTTTTTGGGATTCCATTTAAAATTGTGATTTATTTCTGCTCGATCGTGCTTGGGGATAATTTTGTTAAATTCTCATTGAATGAAATTCCCTTACGTTTATTGAGGCTTCATTAAAGATTGATTTCATTCTTTTATAATTTTTGAATACTTCTTGGGTTTCTTTAATTGGTAATTTTTCATATCTTTAAGTATCAGATTTCTTACAAATATTTCAGTTTTACATTGGATATCATAGAGGATCAATGATACATTAGTTGCAGAAGAATCAACTTCAGATAACCTTTGCTGAGTTTTATTAATATCGTGATGTAAGTTTAAAGAAATTAAAATAATGTTCAAATTGGTTCACTTTTACAAATAATCAAACTTTAGGAAAATTATTCTTGAACCAGCTTTGTATTTTTTTCAATCAAGTTTTCTAAGGTTTTTACTATTTTCAATTCCTGCAATAATATTTATCACAAGTTTAAAATAAAACTTTTGCTGAATACGAAAATTTCTTTTTGCACTTTTTTTTTAATTAAGAAAAAACAAAAGCAAACTTCATAATGAATTTCCAATACATCTTCAATTCTTCATAATTTTAATTGAGGTTCGTTTGGATTGCTACCTTTTTAAACGATTATCAAATTTTGTACGTTTAAAGATTTTTGTTCGTTTTCCGTATCCAAATTTTTATTTGCAACTATTATCAGTATCTTCTGAAGAATAAAATTCGGAATAATTTTATGAACATGGAAAATGCATAAGATGCTACACAATTTATATCAATGGAATCTGTTAAGAAGATAAGAACAAATTTTTTTATCTCTTGGTGTGATGTTAAATTGAGCACTAAATTTATAAGTTTAAATTATAATCTAATAAGAAATACCATAATTTAGATAGCCATTTGTATATACATTACAAAGAATAGCAAATATCAAATATATCAATGGAAGCTAAATCTAAATATAGAAAGTGATATTAATACACTTTTTAATAAGTTAAAAATACGATGGTATCTGAGTGCAATAAATGGATGTGTTATAATTGTGAAACATTGGAATATAAGAACATTAATTGATTTCAGTGATAATTAATATCTACAAGTATAAGTTTAATTAATGATGTGTTTTCACGTATTTTGTGTAAAAATAAAAAATTATTGAAATATAAGAGAAAGCAAGAAATGAATATTCGAAATGTCTCACGAATAATGTATTTGAAAAACGATATTAAATATAGAACTTCATCTATCCATTAATTAAGCGGCATTAATTAAATTAGTTCCCATTAAGGGATAAGATCATGAAGGTTTTTCTAAACTATTGTATCTGACTTATTGCTATCAATCAAAAATTTTCTTCACATTTCGCAATTGCCATGTCCATCCTTGTTACATCTCCATCCTTGTTAAATTCACAATTCCCATTTATTACAATATATTTCTTTACTAGAGATAAATGTTAAATTTGTATCGACCGGATAATTAGTGCTTTATCGTACTGTATCTGGTAGCAAGCAGTTCCATTTTCAACAATGTAATATGGTAACATGCTATATAAGGTATTTTTAAAATTTCCGGGAAATGTAGTTGGTTATATGCCGGCAGAGATTCATTATATGTAATATCCCATAGCCACTCTTGGTGGTGGACAATGGTCACACAGCCCGGTAGGTCCCTGTGGCCCTTTTATACCTGGTTCACCTGTCGGCCCCATTACACCGGGAACCCCGCTGCAGCCCGGATCACCCGGTGGTCCTTCCATTCCATCCTTGCCTGGTAATCCATTTTCACCAGGAAGCCCTGGTACACCTTGTTCTCCTCTGCGGCCAGGTTGTCCTTGCGGTCCTTCAGGCATAGGTATTTCCACAACAATCCCGGGAATTCCAGGATGTCCAGGAGGACCTGATTTTCCAGGAGAACCAGGTGGTCCCCTTGGCCCTTGCTCGCCAGGTTGTCCAGGTGAGCCTGGATATCCATCACAGCCTGGCAAGCCCGGCATACCGGTTGGTCCTTTCCGACCTGGGTGTCCCGGACTACCAGGTTTACTTTTTTCGCATTCAAAACAGAAATGATCTGGTTGTTTCAGTGGCAGCGGAGCATCTTGTCCATCCATACCTGGTCGTCCTGGTAATCCATCCAGGCCATCTTTTCCATCCCGACCTGGTAGACCTCTTGGTCCCGGTGGTGACACACCGCATCCGCAGCATAAGTTTCTCACTCTTTCCATTGATGATATTCGTTGATTTTGAAAAGAATAATTATCAATCGTGCCAACAAAACTTGCCAATCGTTTGTGTCTTCGTCCTCCAACTAAAATCTGCAAGTAACATTTCTGAAATACTTTAATTAATAACGTGAGGAAATAAAATATTGCAAAATCTCTTCAGAAATTATTACTCTTAACATAATCAGTTCATTAGTTTTAATTGAAGTTCATGAACCGTTAGATTTCTACAAAGCTATGCTATCGGATTATCATGAAAATCATGGAATAATAAAAAACGATGAATTGCTAGAAATGGATGAATGGATTATGATGATGAATCACTCACAATAATTATTAATTATAAACGCTTAAATTATTAATAATGATAAAATAAATTATCATACTTAGCAATGATGTTTTAAACATTCTCATATCATTTTTAAAGTTTTGAAATATTTAAAAAAACCTATGCAAACATTATTAATAGCTTCATAATGAATGTCTCATTGATAATTTCAAATTTATTTTTTTAAATTAAAAATTGAATTTTCTTTCTGATCAATTTGTAAAAATATATAAAAAGATTTTCTCGAATAATATTTGCAAACTTATCAAATAGAAATTAGAAGATTTCATCCCATTTTTATGTAATTTTAAAGTTACAGTATGAAATAGTAAAAATGAAAATTTTCAACTATTTAAAGTCTTATAAAGAAAACAAACATGTGTCTTCGATACTTCTTTCCAAATATTTCGACTTCGTTGCTTGCAAAAATCAACTTCATTTTGCATGCTTGAATGCATATATTGCAAATAATTGTAAAATAACGGTATTGAAAAGATGCAAACAAATGTTGTAGTTATTGCTAAAGTTACAGCAAACAATGCTACACTTCGTAAGATTAACAGTTGTTGTTGTAATATAATTTTGCTTGAATTGTATTCATCCATCATTGCTGAAAATTTCTTGCATATATTTTAAATATCATTATTATTTATATATTTGTAATTAGATTTTTTTTTAATGGTTTCTTTAATACTTTTTTGCAACACTTAGTCTGTGAAATTTGAATAATTTCTTCTAAGTGAATTAAAGTTCAGTTTTTACCTTCGATTTTATTTGTCATTAACTAATGATAGTAATATTTACCTTATCATTCACTACTAGTGTACTTTTACAATATTATTTATTTTATCTAATTATTTTGTGCTGAATCAGATACCTGATTTTCGAAAAAGCAATCCTTACCTATTCAGTATTGTTTCGAAAAAAGTTGTGTGCGTCAGTAATTAGAAATCAAAAATAGAAAATGAATGACTACGAAGTAGTAACTTTATATTATGAATAATATAATGATAATGGAGAAAATCAAACTATTAAATGAGAAATATTTATTTACCCGCAAAAGATCTGGTTCTCTAATATTTAGCTATCAAAGTCAGCTAAAATCAAAAATATCACAAATAAATAGACCAAAATCAGAAATGAATTTATGGTAACCTACATTGTAACGACAACAGTAGGACTTGATAATAAAATTGATCGATTTTACAATATGAAATATTCTAAATAAAAAAAGTTGTGATACATGATAACATGATAGTGATAATGTTCGAAAAACTTTTTTAACCATATCACCAAAACCAATATTTATAGAGCATATTGGATAATAACTTTTTTGCGTGAAATATTTTCTTTTCCGGATAACTGATTCCCGGCTACCTTACTATATATGCTACTATAATCATGCAGTATCTGGAATTACCTGTAAATAATCGATCAAGAAACAATGTTGATACTACCTACCTGAAAACAACATACATTAAACAGAAAGTATTTTTGATTGGTACGATATAAAGTACTACATGAAACGATTCATATGAGATTTCTTCATGGTCAACAGTGATTGTCATTTTTGAACGCTTAAGAATTTCCAACAGCAATTACTTGTTGAGATTAAGAATTTTCAAAATCAATTACTTGTTGAGATTAAGAATTCTCAACATCAATTACTTGTTGAGATAATATGCTATTTTTATTTTAGAGGGAGAGAGAGAGAGGGATGGAGGGAGAGAGATTTGGAAGAACAAAAAAGCAACTGATAAAAATGGAAATACAGTTATTAATAAACTAATAATTTTATCACTAATTGGATGACATGAATTATCCAAATATTACTTACCTTATTAACAATCTATTCGAAATACGAATAGAATAGAAATTTGAAGTAATAAAATATCAAAAAATAAATTCCTATTAATAATTTGTAATAGTTAGATAAATAAAAATTTATGAGAAGTTTATTTAACTTCAATAAATGCATTATTAATTAGTCTAATTAATGCAAAAATTCATAATGAAGTAGAAATTGAAAAATGAAAAAAATGATGAAGTGAAAGGAGATTATATATTTCATTACCTCAATTCGATTTTTTCGCTTTTTTTGCTCAATTTTTAATTCGAAATGAAAGAGGTCATAATTATGATTTAATACATTAAAGAGGTCATAATTATGGTTTAATACATTGTAATAAAAAAATTTGCACGCAATTAAAATTATGTTTAATTTACTGGAATCTTATTTGTTTAATGATCGAATAATTTAGTCAATTTTTCTGTTGCATACTTTGTATATGTTTATATATAATAAATAGATATTATTCATTCAATTGTATGATATAAGGAAGAAATGATGTAAGGAAGAAATTTATTCGTCATTTTTAATGATTATACCACTATTATGTTGTTGTTATAAATCGAAATTTTTGATCACTTTTAATAATTATTTCTTTCGATTGAATTTTTTTGCAACAAATATTTTGATAAAAAATAAAATAATCATATTTTTAATAATAATAATTATGCATTTTTATATAAATGAAAATGAAAAATTCTCAATTCAATTTATGTTTGATAAAAAATATTTATGAAATTTCAAAATGATACTTTTCATTAAAATATTTTATAGTATAAAAAAAAATTTTCATTAAAGAAAGAAAAGCAAAACTTGGAAATTTCCACAAAACAATAAAATTCAAACTTCTCACTAAAATGCATATTGTCAAATAACTTTAAAAAAAAAAGAAAGGATTTGATAAGATGAGCAATAAAGAAAGATAAATTGGCTGTACAATAATTTGAATGATTTGAACATTCGCCAAATAATTACCCAAAATAATTAACAAAATATCATTTGTGACAACAAATAAGGTAAATTAGACTGCACAACAATTTAAATGTTGTGATCTTCATTTATCTTCTTTATGTATCTTCCTTTCTTTATGTAACAAACATTAAATGAATATTTTTGTACGCCTAAAATGGGCGTTACATTATGAAATTGATAATGCACTGATAAATTTGATAAGAAAGAATCAGAGGATAGATGAATGAAAATGTATTTGCTACAATGTTCTCTCATCCATAATGTCATACAATATACACTTTAAATAATTTTTACAGGATATCCTTTAGCCATTTATAGATGTCAACGTATCCTTTTCCATCTACCACATATAAAGCTTAATTTTTCCATTTTAAATTTTCTCATTAAATATACCCTTCGTAGCATTGTTTCATATCATAGCAATAACGTACATATATCGTGTGTTTCTTTTACTTATATTTATCATATTTTTTTTAAATTTAACTACTTAATTGATATTTAAACGTTATTTACAGCTGCCTATTAAAACTATCCTAAAAAAGATCCAATTAAAAAAGACAAAAGATTTTCGCTTATGTTTTCAAACATTTTAAAGGAAGAGCGTTGGTAATAATTGCTGATAATTTCAGAAGTGTGTAAATTGATTTATCAATGAGAATTAATCATTTTAACAAATATTTGAATAATAATATAACTTATCATTAATCATTCAGCTAATGATCTATTTCCATATTTAAAAAAAATTTCTTTTTTGAAATTAATAATTACTTCTTTTTAATTTTTTTTTCGAATACTTCGTTAATTTTTTCAAAAACTTTTTGCAAATGTAATTAAATAATTAAATAAGATAATTAAATAAAAATTGAGCAACAAATTAAAATAATATTTTCAATGATTAAGATATCATAGGAATACGAAAAACAAGCTTTCCTTAAATTACATCGTAAGATAATGACAGGCATTTTTTCTCATTGACGTTTAAAGCGGATAATTGTAATGAAAATAAATGATGATGAAAAATCTTTCGCATTTATCAAATTTCGTTTCTGTAAAATTTCGCATTTATCAAATTTCGTTTCTGTAAAATTTCGCATTTATCAAATTTCGTTTCTATGAAAAAAAGGGATTTTTGGTCATTTTAGTAGATTAGATCCGATGATAATACTTGAAATCTGACATAGCACACTGTTCTACCAGTTTTTCTTTAGAAAGTACTGGAAAAACTATTAAAAGAAGAAATGATCATTATCGGGAAAAAAATGATATGTTAAATTTCAGTTCTTTCCTTTTACCTAATTTCTATTTAGAAAAAATAATTTAAATAAAGGCAATAATAACATTTGAATAATTTTCTTCGAATGAAAGTAATGTAAACAAAGATAAAATATTACTTTGAAAAAATTTCACTTCTTTATCGATATTGAATAATTAATAATTTACTATTAATTTTTGAAAATAAAATTATTTACTCATTGGCATCAGTCTGTTGAATTCTTCAACGATCAATAAGCTTAACTTTAAAATTAAATTAATATGCCATCCAACAGTGTGTGATATCGCTTTTAAAAATGCAGTAAATATGTATTATTACTTAATGATATCAACTTTGGATTATATTTGATAATCTGAATTTCATCATTATCAGTATTAAAAAAAAATTGTGATTTTTCTTATTTGACAGTTATTATATGATTAATAATTATATGCTGTAAATTTCTTTTACTTCTCTTTGCTATCTCTAAATCAACAAGTAATTTCTAATTCCTGTTTTGTTTTTAATTAATTTAATATCCATCGAAATTGCATCATTAATTCATGCGAACAAAGGTAATCAGCAATAAATGAACAATTAAAGGATCCATAAAAGGTTAAGCAATCTTTTATTGATATGTAAAATAACATAATCAATTAAAATTATTCATAATTATTCTTGTTGATTTCATTGGCTATAACAGTATTATTCATTTCAGCATTAATTTTAACTGTTTTTATACTCACAATAAAATGAGTAATAATATCATTTAATGATTCGGAACGTTAATCCTTTTTTTATTGAAAAGAATGTGGCAACAGACAGCTTCTTTAATTTATGAGTGAAACTTTTCGTTGCATAAACATTTCATTCCTTCTGATGGTATTGAGCTTATCTGTTATCAATGCACTTATCTGCGAGGAACGCTTCATACTTTCTGGTTTAATCAATGCAATCAACATTAGCATTAATTTTTTTAAATCGATTTTTCAGTGAAACCATTGTTGCCTTTCATTAGATTAGTAGCTGTTTTCGAAATATTGACACTAATTAATTGCAATTAATTAAATGGAAAGTTAAAAAATTAATTAATTAAATGGAAAGTTTCGCTTAGAAATAACAAAAATTTTTTAAATTCTCAGTTTTTGATATTTGTCTCTTTCACCAATTTTTCTCCGCAACACTTTATTACTTTTTGAAACAGAAACATCTAATTATGAACTTTCCACATTGTTTGCTAATATCCATAGTCAAAATTATGGGTTAACAAAGTTCAAAACTATATGCAATTTTGAACTTTGTTAACCCGTAATTTTGACTGCACATATTAGCCCGAAAACTGTATTAACATAATTAGATAACCCGAAAACTGTATTAACATATAGTTAGAAATCATATAAGTACAGTTGTAAACCATAAATACAATCGGAAACCACATACATACAGTCGGAAACCGTATAAATACAATTAAAAACCGTATATATACAGTTTGGACCATATACGTACAGTTTGGAACCATATACATACAGTTTGAAACCGTATACATACAGTTTAATACCGTACAAATACAGTTTAAAACCGTACAAATACAGTTTAAAACCGTACAAATACAGTTTAAAATCGTATCAATAGAGTCAAAAACAGCATATAAGTTTGTAACCGTATGAGTACAATAGGAATTCTATAAATATAATATGAAAGCTTATTAATAGATATGAAAATTCACTGTTAATAGCAAAGAGGCAGAACAGTTTGTTGAATCCTCTCCAGAAGAGCTCTTTTGCAAGAGAAGTCTCATCAGCATAAAGCAGAAAGAAACAAGAATAGATGCACTTCTGTCAATTGTCGACTACTGTCGCTATCTCTTCAATACTTGAAATTTAAATAAAAGAAAATTAGGTTCTAATATAGTAATTAATTGAATAAAAGAATGAAAGGATTTATTGAAGGATTAAAATGAATTAATTACGTAAGCATTAAAAATTATGAAACCAGAGAGATCCCAGTAATCTAAATCGATTCTTGCAAGAGAAGAAGTAAACCTCGGGAATAGTTATTGGGATATTATTAATAGAGTGAAAATAAATTCAACAGATTATACTAAAATATTGGCGCGAGAAATTTTCCATATAAAATATATATTGCAATAATCTCATTACCCTCTCTGTGCGAATTCTTTAGCATTCATTTACGTTGTATTTCTGCGTTCTTTTTCATGCGGAAAAGTTTTCATCCATCCGAAATCGCTTTATTGACCAATGGTCAATATGCTAAGCTTATTAACTGATGAAGAATGCAAGGGATTATTGCACAATACTTCGCGGTTTGTCTTTTTGTCAATGTTGCCCCTTCTAGTCGAATTTGGAATATTCTTCACATAGTATAAAAAGCACAATCATATTGTTAATATAATTTTATTCCGATTAAAATTCATTTTTACTGTTTGAATAGATATTCTCTGAATTTTAGATTGAATAAAGTGGTTAATGGTTGAATAGATATTCTCTGAATCTTAGATTGAATTAAATGGTTAATAATTAGCACTGAATTATTTTCCACTCATCAAAGATTTTCAATATAATTTCAGGTCGATCTGATGATATCATTTCATTGATAAAAGCTTAATTGCTTATAGCAAAATAACATCATTAAAAATATCAATAGGCTAAGAAAATTGAGTTTCTGTAATTCGATATTTTTGAAATAATTCATAAATAGTAACAAGAAGATTGTAAAGACTTAAATAAGACGAATATCTTTATTGAATTTGATATTTGGAACATTTTTTCAATATGACTACATAAAATTTCTAATTGTTTAATTTTGTTCCATAATTTTAGTTGATTTCAATGTTCCATTTCAAACGAGATGAAAATATTATTTTTAAAACTATACCGATACTATAACATGCCAACATTTCGGCTAAACATTTGAAATATCAGTTTATGAGTTTTCGATCGCTGATAGACAATCTTATTTTTTAGGGAAATACAGGGATAGATTTCTTTTTGTTCAACATAACGAAATCAAATTTCATATACAAACGGAATGTTTTCTCATCCATTTCTAATTTACTACTAATTCTTTTAGAACAAATATTTAAGTGTTGAAAGATAATAATGCTATTGTAATATTATGTAAAAGATTTTATGATATCGTAGCGAAGTTTTCGGTCTTAAACTCATTATTTATCTTGTCGATGTGATATAATTTATTCGATATAGTGTTTTTTGATAGAGCAAATGACGATAAGTATGAGATACGTGGTAGAGCATCGAAGTATATTATATTGCTATGACACGACCTTTCTTATGGCAATTTAAATTGCTGACCCTACCACATCGATTAGTTGTGTGATGAGAAACCGCTGAGTGTGCTTAATCATAATTTTTTCACACCCTTTATCATATTTAAAATTGANATTATATTGCTATGACACGACCTTTCTTATGGCAATTTAAATTGCTGACCCTACCACATCGATTAGTTGTGTGATGAGAAACCGCTGAGTGTGCTTAATCATAATTTTTTCACACCCTTTATCATATTTAAAATTGATTGTTTAAAATTGTATATTCATTGATAACAGTTTTTTCGGAAAGTTAGTTAATCATTTATCATAAAATAACTTATTCCACTTCAAGTTGGCTTATTTCATTGTTTATTATTTACTTCTTAATGGCCATAAGAGCCTGCCAAATCGAATATCCTGCACAAAAATTTTCGCTTGTCATTGCGAGACCGAACTTGCTTAAAACGTTACCTACGTTTAAGGCTGTGTTAGTATTTTATCTGACTACTAAATTTCCTTTCATTTTTCAAAACTTTTCGCTAATTTATATTTTTTTAACGTTCTACTTACGATATGATGTTCATTCTAAAAATACTGTTTATTTTAAGGTTTGATTTGAGTGCGTTTTTTGGCAGATTAACCTTTTGAAACGTTCAAGCGACTACATTTTCGACACGACATAAATATTTTAAGTAAATGACACTTCCAAAATCTCAATGTATCATATGTTTCTCGGCTGCTTCCTTTGAAGGACTTGCGGCGCTATACTGTGGTCACACATTTCATTTTCAATGTATTTGGGAATGGTTGAAAGTATGCTCACTATTATTTGATTATATTTCAGTTAGTCAGAATTTATTCCCTGGCAATAATATCTTTCCTTTCCTCTTCAACAAATGCTTTCAATAATTTTTTCTAGTTTTAATATTTAGTAATACTAATACTTTTATCACTTTTAGTCATTACAGTAATGCTTTTTTTACTTACAGTTTTATTCGCTTCATTTGATTAGTAATTAGATTAATCATCCGATAGTTGGATGATACTTATCACTACCATTCTGTCGTAAGTTATTTTCCATGGAATTCCTTTAGTTTTCAGAATCGAACGAGATGTCCGATATGTCGGAAGAAACTGCAAAAAAATGTGGTGACGTTATTATCATTTCGAATCCTGGATAATGGCGACGATGATATTAAAAGATATTATAAGATGATGGAGATGATTTTGGTTTCTATTTAGATCTATTTAATTATGAAAAAAAGACAAAGAAATGAATTTAATACTTAATGGACGGATTATCTGAAAATAGAGTATAATAATTTAATTAAAGCAAATGGCTCAACAACTGAAGGAAGTTGTTGATCAGATAAAAGTTGGTACCATTAATATAATTCCGTTGAATATCAGATAAAAGGTTGGTACCACTAAGAGATATAATTTCGCTTAATATCAGATAACGCTTGAATTGTTGAATTTTTACTTATTTTTTACTATATTTTCAAATTTATTTTATCAAATAGAAATCTCTTTTTTATCCTAATTAATGTTTCAGATGAAAAACGCCAGGTTTCCTTTCCAATCACCAGAATTGTTTTCTGCTTACTTATCTCGAAAAATTCAAGTGGTATACTTTGTAGTTCTATAGCAAATTGTTCTTTACTTAGTTACAACGCCCAGTAAAAATCAATACTTATCAGTAAAAAAAATAAAAGCTCTTGCCCTTTCCGATACAGTGATAGCTGTCATGAAATTTCGCTTTAAAAATATAAGGATTAAAATAAATATATTAAAGTGTATAATACGCGACACTTAGCATAAATTAACTTCGAATGTACAAAGCTAACCTAAGTTAATTTGAAATATAGGTCTGTTCTAGGATATTATCTGTTGTACAATAAGAGTTGTTAATTATTAGAAGCAAATAGCTCAGTTACTGTCGAAAATTTCAATTAATCATTAAATATTAGCATAGAATTTGAAATTTGGTATAAATGACAGTGATGATATTTTTGGAATGATTTTCAGACAAACAATTAACAATTATCTAATTAATTTTAAATTCAATGTAACTTCTTAAGGATTCTCCATTTCCTAAACTGAATAATTTGTTCGTTGCAATAATTGAAAATCAAGAAATTTCAAACTGTTTGGGAATAACGTAAGCCATGAAGAATGAATATAAGAGATAAGATATGATACTAAGACTACAGATCTGGCTATAATCGACATCTATTTAAATTGATTTTTATATTAATTGGATGTTACCTATAAAAGTTCCATCTCATCATAAATAGATGAATCAGTTTGTAATGAAACATCTCTATTATTGTGAGATAGCGAATGTGTAAAGTATAAATGGTATGTAAGTAGTTTCAGCGCATTATCCTAAATCTTTTATGATTCAATAACAGAGAAGAAAGTTATTTCATTTCCTAAAACAAATTAACTTTTTTAAAGAAATGTTTGCTTTCCATTTGATACTTTTCAATCGAAGTCGCATAAGCATTCAAATTCATTTTTAGTTTCGACTTCTTGAAGAGATGAAAAATTTGGAATTAAGAAATGTAAGAGAAGAAATAGTATGCTTCATTTGTTCACAGGAACTTCATTTGTTCGATATCGCTGCATTACGTTGCGGTCATACATTTCACCCTCAATGCGTTTTACTACTGGTTAACGTAAGTTTCAGATAATAATAATACATTTAAATCAGAAAATTCAATCGCTCGCTTATCGGAAAAGATTTAATCCCAAAATTTAAAGTTGTAAATACAGTACGATGAAAAAAAGTTTCTAAAAGGACAGAATTATTGTAGATTTCTGTCAACCTTTTAAATCGGTAAAGATGAGAATTTCAGATCTACTTTTATTAAAATTTCACATCATTTTATCCAACATCTCCTGTAATTTTCATTTCGATAATATTTCTGCATCATTAATTTGATCAGTAAAAATGGACTTGTTGATTTAGTTTAATCTCATTTTGCAGCCGTAAATATTTAATCAACGAAATTTTATTTAAAAAAATTTAGCATAATGCATTCCACAACTAAATCGCTTCTTACCTGTAATCACATATTATTTACTCTTATAATAAAACAACATAAGTTTCATAAGTACTTCTCTGACAACTCACCTTTACTTAATTAAAACAGTCTTTTCATGGTTTTTTCATGAATTTGCAGATTTTTAAGAAATGCCCAGTATGTAAGAAGCAAGCTCAAGAAGATAGCATTATTCCGCGCTTATTTCTTGAGATCGGTGATAAAGATGTCGAAAACACAACCACCAGTGATAACAAAAATGAAGAACTATTAACCGAGGAGGTTTTTAATATTGACGTATTTTTTAACATATTTGAATATTCCAAAAAAATTCAAAAGAGAACACTGATAGTTTTTTATTACTGTAAAATTTCGAATTGCTCCATAAATACGATAGAACCATAAACAATATCAGTGTAGTGAAGCTTGGAAAATTAAATGAATAAACGGAAGAACGAAACAGTCTAGCAGTAAACATGAAAGTTGTTTGTATATAGTCAACAATATCAAAAGGAATAAATAAAAGTCTAGAGATCATTTTAAAATTCTAGCTTTACAGCTAATTTTCATTATGAAATATTTCCAGACTTTGAATAATTTAAACCAAATGGAAATGCAAGTGAGACTTGCTTCTCTACAGATAGAGCATAATATAGCATCAATTGAAATGTTGAAGAAAGGAATTGAAAAATGTTTGGAAATTTACGAAAAGAGAAACGTTTGAAAACCAACGTTTAAAAAGATCAGTAAACTGCACAACGGTATAATTTATGGTTATTTTTGAAACAAAAACTTATCATAACTTTATTCCATTTATATCATTTGATGTTTATAAAGCAAATATATAATTTGCTATTAAAATTTTGTTTATCAATTCGTGTCAGCGCTCTTCTATTTTCGTTTCTTTCAATCTTAAGAATCTAAGATTTGCTATTAAATTTCATTTCTTTTAAATTGTTCTCAAAAAAATTTTCCATTCTTAGCAATAGAAGAAGTATTGTTTTCACTTGTGTGATTGATTTTCAAAATTTTTAAAAATAAATTATTATGCCAAATTCTGTTAGCCTTACAAATCAAGGTAGTAGTCTTGAGAAAAAAAAACGAACTTTGATTTGAATCGAATCGTTAATCAAATTCTGTAAATCATTGCCATTTCGTAAATCAATTCGCATCCGAATTTATCGCCTTCTACAACCAATCCTCTACTTGAAAGATGCCAATTCTGCTTTCTAGCTAATTCAGCTGCATCTGTTGTCCAAATTAATGATTAAAAATAGAGCAAATGGTTATCATCAGGATCGTAAATCAATTCGCATCCGAACTTATCACCTTCTACAACCAATCCTCTACTTGAAAGATGCCAATTCCGTTTTATAGCTAATTCAGCTGCATCTGTTGTCCAAATTAATGATTAAAAATTGAGCAAATGGTTATCATCAGGATCGCAAAATCCAGTCCAGTTAAATCAAATATATTGATGATTTTACCACATGGTCAGTTGAAAAAGAAGTTATGATTTAATTTTGCACCGCTTTGAAACTTTCAATTGCAAGTAGTATAGAAACTTAAAATAGCTGATACCTATTGAAAATAAAAAGATCGAAAGATTCTCTATGAACTTTCTTTCAACAGTTAATGTTTTTTATAATGCCTCAGTTCAATTTGGAATAAATTAGAAAAGCCATTGAAATCAATTGAAAGTATAATTTAGAAATAAAAGACGAATCTCAAAAAAACTCTGGAAAAGTTACTGGCAATTAATTGCAATGTTAACTTACTGTTACAATCATATTACTTTTCCATCCCTACCAATTGCAATCTAATTTGCTCCAATTAAATTTATACTCATTTTCATTTTAGTTTCTACTTTGAAAATTTACAAAATCATTTTAATAATATGTTACTCAGCGTATTGCGTCAAACTTTGAATGACGTAACCTTACGTGTGAGTTCCATTAATGAGATTTATCTAGCGGTGATTTGAACCATTACACAACCTTTAACCTCAGATATATCTAATACATTCCCATTTACTCCTATAATTCATAACACTATCGACAGAATATGTTAGCATCTATTTTATTTGACTTACCATTATGAAATCATAAAGCACTTAAGCTATGATTTAACAGTATTTTAATAAATGAATGGATTTATTAATTTTAAGAAAAAGAATGAATTAATAAATCTATTCATTTATCAAAATACTTTTTAAAAAGCCTGACAAATTTTCTTATTTTCCTGAAATTATTGAAGTCATTGAATATTCTCCCAATAACTTTTATTCACATAACAAATATGATAAAAGAGAAAAACATTGATCATTAACAAAAAAACAATCAAAGAATTTGATTGTTTTTTCATATATTTTTTCATATATCATATATTTTATAAAGAGTGTAGAAACATAACGACTAATAGCGACAGGTAAGAGACGAAAAAGGAACATTTCATTGCTAATTAAGGAATTAAAGTTTGAAAAATTGGAGATCAATAATAATAATAATACTACGGTAGCAAATGCAAAAAGTCGTTCCATACTTTAACTTTATGTATGTTATCATCTATGAAAATTTATCATAGTATTTGCTCGTATCACCGATTATTATCCTATATGATGAATGCTATAGTGATTTTTTGTTTTTGCCTTTATGTATCATTTTATGCCATCATATCAATTATTAGTTAAAATTCAATACACAAATAAGTTTACTAAATTTCAACATAAATTCAATTGTATTACAACATTTTTCAATGATTTGTACAAGAATATTTTTAATAGCCATAATATATATATCAAACTTTAAAACCTTATTAATATCCAGGTGCTGTTCGTGGTTTTGGACAGTGATCACAGCGTCCTGTTACTCCATTTATACCAGCTGGACCTGGATTACCAGGTTTACCAGGTTTACCGGGTGCACCATCTCTGCCGGCATCTCCTGGTTTTCCAGGTGAACCAATTACTCCTGGTGCACCTGGAAGACCTCGATTACCCACTCTTCCTGGTTGTCCAGGTGCACCTGCTGGACCTGATGGCCCTCTAGGTTGTTTCTTCTCAATTATTTGACCTGGTGGTCCTGGTGGTCCTTTGAGTCCTTAAAAACGAATTATTGAAATATAACAAAAGATAAATAATGGAAATTTTATTCGTCTATGGTTAATACTGTTACAATAAGTACTTACCAGGCGCTCCAGGTGTGCCAGGAGGTCCAATTTGACCCCTTAGTCCTGCAGGACCTCGCACTCCGCTTTTAGCTGCAAATCCCATCAGTCCTGGTCTTCCCGGTGGACCTTTAGGTCCGGGTCTGCCCATTCGACCCGGTGGACCATCTTCACAATCAAAGCACCATTCCTAGAATTAAGTATCATATTACAAATTATATCCAAAGTGAATTAATATTAAATATTCAAAATTCGGATTTTACTTGTGGTGCCATAGGAAGCTGTTTTTCAATAGCGTCTGGGCCATCTCTCCCTGGACGTCCTGGTTTACCATCTGCACCATCTCTACCCTCTAATCCTGGAGGCCCAGATATTCCAGGCGGAGAAATTCCACATCCACAACAAGCCGTAATTTGTCTCCTATCATGCTCAAAAAATATGTCATCGTCAAAACCTGCCGCACTTGATCGCTTCGTTCGTAATGTTCCAGATGACTTTACAAGATACTAAATTAATAGAAATTGATAAATTTTTTTATGAAGAGGAAACGTAAAATTTCATTGAACTTGGTTGTTAACTCCAAATATTTGGGAATACTCTAACTCTAATTTTATTTTTACCTCATTTCTAAAAATGTTTGCATTCTCATCGAATAATAGTTAAAGTAAGAATTTGTTATTTTTTCGCTTCACATGACATCAAGAAACTTATAGAAATAATAGAACTGCAATAATATTCAACTTTTATTGCAAGTGCTAAATTATTATAACTATCATAATAATAACTTAATTACAGCACTATATTTTATCGTCATAACAGAATATCAATGATAAGGGAGTACCTGTGTCCGGGTTATTTCACGCCAAATATTACCAGATCGTGATCGACAAAATTTCACTTCATTTTCCATCATTGATTGTACATGTTGCAAATAATTGTATAATATTGGTAACGATATGATACATGACAAAGTTGCTACGGTTGACATTGCTACGCCACAAAATGCTATCCGTCGTAAATGATCCACTTCTCGTTGCAATTTATTATTTTTAGTTAATTGTTCCTTATCTGCCATATCTTTATTTCCTCCGCAAGCTTTCTTTTTTTTATAAAAAACAGAATTTTTAGTTGAATAAATTTAAGAGGCAATATATAATTAAAAAAAAGGATCGATCAACAATATCAGCGACAACAACAATAATAATAATAATAATAATAGTAATAATTCAAATAGTTTATTTAGAGAAAACAGAAATAATTTTGTTTTCTTCGTGGGACTCAAATTATAGTCGGAAATTATCACATAAAAATGGTTAATATAATTTTGAAATGTAAAATAATTTTTTTACGAAATTAAAAACGAAGAAAAGAGTAAACAAATAACAAACAAATTTCATATTGTTTATTTACTTTTAAAAAAATTAAATTACATTATAATCTGAATTGAAATTTATAAATAATAATGTTATAAATATAATAAATTTTTTTTGCTAACTTATAAAGTAGCAATTAACATATAGTTTAATGAATAATAAGCTTTAATTGTCTAAAAGACTTTATGAAAATATTAATGATTTTAAGAAAATGAAGAAGAAATAAATCGGTATGAAATAGAAAGAAAAAATGACGAAATAATTTTTCTTAAAAAAAAGTTGAAATTTTAATTTTAACAAAAAAAAAAGGAGAAACAGAAAATGTGAGATAGTATTATACATTATAGAATTATCTGAATGATTGATAAGTGAAATTATAAAATGATTAATGATCAATCAGGTATAATGTGTTTTTGATATTAGTAGATGGAGAATGAACAATAAATGAATGAACTAAATTAGTTGAAAGACATTCTGAATCCTTTCATCAACCATTTTAAGTTATTCGTTTGGTTCGATCATGGCTGAACTATATTATCGGCAATTAAATTTGATAGTCAAGAAATTCTGAGCTCCAAAAAAAGGAAGTGAAAATACTCGAAGATATTCTTACAAAAAAAAATAAAAAAAATCGAATTCTATCATTTGATCGTTGATGTGCAACAGGAACACTTATTAACTAAGTGTATTAAATCCGTCGTAATATTCAACGATTTCAACCGATCGCAGATTTCTTTTTCATATCAATCAAATTTGACAATTATTTTAGAATTCAGCAAATAGTAGAAAACAGTATAATTTCTAACAAAAATTCTTATAAAAAAGTTAAAATATCGTTGAAATTAAGAAACTTAATGGTATCGATTTAATAAAATCCAAAAATTTTATTGTTTTTTTCCAGTAATTATCAAAAGCAATATGAAAAGAAAATTAAAGATTAGAGATTAAAAATATCTGAAAAGTAAGCAAATAAAATAAATTAGATTTATTCTAATAAAGCAACAAATGAATTTCAGGAACTTCAGGAATACAGGACTGAATTCCTGTAATAACGGTATTTATTTTGATATTTAAAAAATTTCAGCAATACTTTTCTGTCAATCATGGAGCAATTTCCACAAGAAACAATTTCTAATTATCGAAGTTTTATTTGTTTAATTATAATATTCCAACAATTCCGTAAGAATAAAATATCGAAATGATAGTACTAAAATATATATTTGTTGGTTTGAAAAATTTCAGCAAAAATTTTAAATTATTTAAAAAGCAATTTCACAATTATTTAATTTTATAATTTTATCCAATAATGTTAATTTTATATATTTAGCAACTTTACAATTTAATTTTTTGGTTTAACAATTATTTTACAAAAAATGCAAATTTAGAAAAGCAATTTTTTCGGAATCATTTACAATTATTTAATTGTGCCAAAACTATTTTAACATTTATTTCACTGCAAATTTCTTTAATTTCAACTAATTTCCTATCATTCTAATTTTTTTTTTCGTTGAATTGAAATTTAAATAATTTGCAAAATATAGTCTGAGAAATTTGTTTGTCCTTCTTTTCATCCATAGAAAATATCAAAAGTATTTGCTGAGAATTTCTTCTTATATATTATTTAAATTTAATTTAACAAACGAAAATTACTATAATTATCTGTGAAAAATATGATGATAGCTTTAAATCGATTTATTTAATATTATAAGTAAAAGCGCGATACAATGATAGTAGCTGGAAGAATAATGAAATACTGAAAATGATGGCATTGAAATGGATTAAACAGTATAATAATAATACGTGAAAAACTGCAATATCCATTTTACAAAACTGGAATATCCATTCCCTTCTTTTTTTATATTTCAATGTTTTCAACAAAAAAAAAAGGTAAATACGAAGAAATTTGTAAAATCTCAAATGATCGGAATGTATTACAAATGCATAATAATACATTCATTAATTCATTATCTTTTAAAAGATTTTCCTTTTCTATAGCTTTTAATCGATATTAAATCGTAATTTTAAATATGATTGAAATCAATTAGCAAACGAACGAATAATTAATTGCACTTTTCATATTTAAAAATTGATCGATATATAAATTAAGATCTCTTCATAATGACAGTCATATCATATAAAATATGATAATGGATGTTATGAAAAGTTTGAAATATAGAAGAATAATAAGTTCAAGTGAGATTATGCATTCTTCAAATATCCTAAGTACTCTTAATGAATTAATTAATTTCGCATGCAAGCATTGGATCGATGTTAGTCAATAAAATTATAAAATAGATTAGAAAAAAATTTAGAAAAGAAATAATATAAAATATAAACTTTAAAAATCTTACAAATCATGCAAATATTATAACGTAGCATAATTGCATTTTATCTTTTCATATATAATATTATAATTATATTTAATATTTAAAATTATCACATAGAATATGCAATTTTAATTTGATATTATCATATCAGTAATATTCAACAAAAAAAATTTATGTCAACTATCTCAAAAGAGAATTATCATACGAAGAGAATAATTAGGAAATGATGCTGGCAATTTCTTATTATTAATAAACTTTTAATAGGAAGGAAAGAAAAAATTGGATTCCTATTAATCTGAAAAAAATTTTTAGATGAGATTTATTAGAGTGTAATAAATTGTTGTATTAAAGTGATTGATTTATCAAAATATGTCATATAAAATTTTAGATTCATCGAATGGTTTTGGAAAAAATGGGACAGAGAGATTGTGAGGAGATATGTTTTCATACGGAAAATATTATATTTTATGCCCTTATTTGGTTTTATTTACTATATTTATTATAATATCATTAAGGTGAAATCAAAATCTCTAATTATTTATATTGCTGAAATAATTTTTACAGTATTTAAAATATTGATGAATTTTTAAGAAATTGAAGTTTTTCATTAAAATTTGCAAAAATTGTCAGCAAAAAAAAAGTAAGACTTAAAACGTCATTAAAGGAAAAAGTTTAATTTCACTAATTATTGCATTCATTAATTCTTATTGACAACAGAAGTTTTAAAACTATCTAATTTCCGTATTGGAAAGAACTTATAAAGTTAATAATCTCAAAGAAACTATAAAAATTGTAAGTCTTTTTTTAAAAATTTAAATATCACGAGAAATTGATTTTCAAAAATTAGTATTCATTTAATTACAAACAAAATTATGTATTTAAATAATCATGTATTTAAGTATTTAAATGTATTTTAAAATTGTTTTTAAAATAAAATCTGAATGAATGCTCGAAATTCAATCAATGCTTTACATAAGCTAAACAAACAAAGGTAAACAAATCAATTTCTTCCAATTTTCAACAAAGTCTTTTATGAGCTAATAGATTATATAATATTAGTCATTAGAGAACTAATAAAATTAGTTGTTAGAGAATTTGTAAAATGAAAAAGTTATTAGAAAATAAATTGTTCCAAATTAGTTAATGAAATTCATTTAGAACAGTTTAATATTGATAAATCTTTATTTAATTAAGAAACAAATTATTAAATCATTAATTAAAATTCATTGATATTGGGCTTCATAACAAAAATATGCTTATTTTGCAAAAAAATTTGCACTATCGTCCAGATATCCCTTCCTCATCGATTTTCCTGATCCAGAAAGATTATTTAGTTCATAGTAAAAAAATTCTTAATTAAAAGTTAACTCTTAGAAACTAAAGAATTTTCAATCTTAAAAATGAAGAAAAGCTCTAAGCATACTAATTTACTTGTAATAATTAAAAAGAATTTAATTCATCGATGTTTTGAAATGTTGCAATAAGCGGCAATTTATGCATAAAATTCAAATATTTTTGATAAAATAAATTTTTAATTAATTAAACCAAAAAAAACAAAAAAAATAGGAAATCCATTGAAAGCAATGTTGAAAACGTTTTACGGTAATTTGAAAAATGCGTTAAAATTAATTTTGTTTACTTATCAAAACAAATAATTATATATACTAAACAAAAACGAAAAGTTATTTCAGTGATTTACGAAATTAATTTTAATTCATATATTTAGATTTGGAAATTAAATTAATAAAATTATATTACAATTTGTTATTTGCAATTTTCTGCGCTAACTTAAACTCACAGATTTACATTTTATGTCAAACTACTTGATATATTTAAACATATTTAAATTTATTAAGAAATTGTATTACACATTTAGATTTATGTATTTATATATTTAGATTTAGAAATTGGATGCTTTTAAAATCATACCATATTAAGGAATCAATTTTTCCACCTATTTAAATTTAGTTAATTGATACATTATTGTTATTATTACTACTACTGTTATTGTTATTAATCTATTGTTTGCGTTATTAATATAATCATAACAATGTATCATATTGAAAAAAATTACAGTTAATAAAATAATTTATTTATTATCTTAAATAAACTTGCAAATTTGAATTTCTTTTAAAAATAAACTATTATTTATTCGAGTAAAAATAGTTAACAAATTTCTTCTTAGAATGAAATGATAAATTTATAGTTAACGATTGAAAGAGAAATTATCAGTAAGAAATGGGAAAATGAAAAATTCATTCATTAATCAAAATTTGTGTCATATTTATATAAAATGGTAAGAATAGTTATAAAAGAAATTGGTAAAATAAAATAAAAAATGAAAAAACCGGAAAAAAACTCTGGAAAATCTATTC